TCTTACTCTCCAGCAGTATTGATAGAGGCGGTCTCTTCATGCAGAGAAACATTTTCAAGTCCAAAGTGTTTATGAAATTATTCAAACCAGCACTTGCTAGCATTAAATGTGCTTTGTATTGCTTGAACAGGACTCATTGATGGCCAGGTATCTGCATCCTCCTCCTCTTCCCTGTCATGTTGCTGTCAGTTTGACACAGTGTTCCACCTTTTGTGCAGATAAAGTTCATATCCAGTGTTACGTTCTTTTTTCTGCAGTCATTAATCCACAAAGTTAATGTAGAGACCTTTCCATGGTCTTGTTGTGGACAGTTGCAATCCTTTTTGCATCTTATTGCTGCCGTCGTCCTTATGTTATTTTCCTCATTCTTTATGGAACGAACGGAACATTAATTAATTCCGTAATGGTGACCTACAGCCATTTAGCTTCTATCGTCCTTTAGCACGTCCAGAAGTTTAACTTTTTCTGTGATAGTTAGAATCTTCCTTGTCCTTTTTGTCCGGTCTGCAAGTGCCTTTGTCAGTGCAGAATGTTTTTTTGACATTATGGGTTTTGGAGAAAATTTGCAAACCAAAAATTTGCAGGCTGTGTTGCTTACATGTATATTAACGATAACATTATTGACACACAGGTAGAGAAGAAGCGTGGAGACTGTTTAGCCAATCAGAGTGCAGAACACGATGCAAATCTGTGAAGCAGCGAGGCTGTGAAAAGTGACCCCAGTTATAGCGAAGGTTCACTGTATAATGTTATTACTAATATGTAGACTTCCAGCTATTGGTTTTGTTCAGTCTAATATTTTTGCTCATGTTTTCCCTGCATTGCACCTTACTTTATAAATCACTAAGAACATTGTTTCTTATTGATCTGTAAATAATCTGACCAAAAGTAAAGAAATTAAAAGGCCTCCAAATCCCGATGTGCTACATAGTAAAAGAGTAGAGAAGTTGAACAAAAGGGTCAACAGGTGTTACCAAAGTAATTTATGGGTCTTTAGAAGGAAAAAAATAAAACAAACTAGTCTTAAGTTATTTGCCATTCCCTTAAAAAGCTATAATTGGACCCAAAAATACTCAAGCAGTTTATTATAGGAGCTTAAGGGGCGACAGTGGCGTTGGATGTAGAAGTTTGCCCTGAAATCGAAGGATTGACGGTTCAAGCCCTGGCTCCGACTTCCATTGTCGTTGTGTCCTTGGGCAAGACACTTCACCTGCATTGTCTACTGATGGTGGTCAGAGAGCCCGGTGGCGCCAGTGTACAGCAGCCCCGCTCCTGTCAGTGAGCCCCAGGGCAGGCAGGGTAGCTTGCCACCATCAGTGTGTGAGTGTGTGTGTGTGAATGGGTGAATGAATGTAGAGTAAAGCGCTTTGGTCAAGTCTCCTGACTTGAAAAAGGGCGCTATATAAGCACATGCCATTTACCATTTAAGGCAGCAGATGGACTTAGATACTGTGTTAACCGGAGTAGAGTTTGATGAGAAATGTTGTGGAAAATGTATTTATATATTCATTTTTATCCCACTCAGCTTTTGCTCATTTTTTACAAAACTGTTGTCAAATTTATGTGGAAAATCTAGACTAAGTTACAGTAAACATGTTTTACAATTGTCTGGAACAAACAATCCTATGCTATTTTTATTATGCATGCATTTTTAATACTTATATTTTTTTTATTAAATTCCATGATGTTTCTTTCCTCTTTTATTCCAGTTAGTGAGATTTCACTTCAATGACATCATTATTTCCCATATGTCTGTTTACCAAACAGCTACCCCAAGTAGAAAACTTGGTGCATATTATTAATCCACTTTTTTCAGAACGTATAAATCATAAAACCTAGAACATATTACTTCCACTCACAGACTGAATGCTACTACCAAAACCCATATTCTGATACACATTTTATTCTCTCTTCATATCATCATCCCTGGCAGTTTAGTAAGACCCTTATCCTGCAATATGTCCATAATTCTGCAAAGTCAAATATTCCACAGGCATATATAAATATTTACTGTTGGAGATATGATTCATGCCCAGCAAGTAATTCTGCCTCAGCGTTTGAGAACAGTTAATTTGCCACATGTACTTAGCTGTTTGTTGATAGATCAGAACGATTAATATTTATCAGTCTCCACATTCTCAAAGCTAGTGGCTTCTCCAGTCGTAGAGCTGGCAATAATGGCTCTGTCGTCTGTGTGGATTTGGCTTCCTGTTGCTGTGTTATTGAATTCAACACAGTACAGCAGCTGGTGGAACGGTGGACTGCTTATGATAACAGGTGTCACAATCTTAGTATTGTGGGCTCGTTGCCATGGTAACAGATGTCAGAGACCCTTCTGCCTGCCACTTTATCACTTTTCCCTTGGTCCTAATTTTTGTTCTTTTCTTTTTTCCGTTTTGTTCCACCTCCCATCTGAACTGTTGCTCTTTTATGATCTGATTCGTATGCATTTTACCATTGTACCAGAAACTGACAACTTTCACTTTTTATCTGTTTCTCCACAGTTGCTCCTACAGTGCGAATTGTTCCTCCCACAGGGATCTTGCGTGAGGGTGACTCTCTCAGCCTCACCTGCTCTGTCACTGGGAATCCTTTGTAAGTGTCTCTGTTTGTATTTGAAAAAACCATTTTCTAGAACTGTGTTTATGGAATTTACCTGACACTTGATGTAATTGGATAAAGTTTTCAACAATTACTTTTGACTAAATCTTCAAAGATGTAAGTAAATTCACCGATATTCTTGATTTTGCCTCCTAAAGCAGATGAAGTTGGCACTTTGAAAAAGGGCCAAATAATTATTTGAAGCTTTAGCAGAGATGTCAGAATCTGGTCCTTAAAAACTTTTGTCCTGCACCTCTCAGGAGGCCTTTAATGCTCAATTCCGATTTTTGCTGTGAGATCTGATTGTTTTGCGTGGTTTTTCACATTTCCAAATATAAGTGACTTATATGTGATCTAATGTGTGAATTGCATTCACACAACTTAAGTGTCCCGCATGCGCAGTAGAAGAGAAAAACTACATCACCAGCGAGCTTGCTCTTTGTTTACTGAAGTAAACATGGCATATAGTGCTGGAGCACATCTTGCAATCATCAATTTCTTGCCCAACCACAGCCAGTGCATTAAAAATACAATATTTTCAAGAGGGTTGAAAATAAAGACTACTGTCTGCATTACTGTCCGGCATGGTTGTTTTTTTTCTTCCCACTTTTGTGCAGAAAGATGCAGAATAGGGGACCTTTGTTGAGTATTAATGGCATACGTATCGGATGAATGCGACCTGGCCGATCAGAAAAAGGTTGCATTTAAAATGAGCCGATTCGTATTGGATTCAGGACCACATAGCCAAGTGGCCGGGGTCACATTGGAAAAAATCGGATCTGTGTTGTTCAGACTGTCATGAAAAGATCAGATACATATCGTATTGGCAAAAAAATCAGATGAGGGTCACTTCAGGCTGCAGTGTGAATGTAGCCTTAGATGTGAATCTGCTCTAACACACCTGGATCAAATAGGTAATTTCCAGGTGACTCTGGAGAACTTGGCTTCAACTGAGGACATATTTAAGCCATTGATTCAGTTGTGTTGGGCCAGGGAGACATCTAAAAGTTGCAGGATCCCAGCCCTCAAATACTTGGAGTTTTACATCTCAGCTTTAAAGAGAAAATGTAGATAGAAGGGACAGTGTAGATTAACTGCCAGATAAAGACTTTACAGTGCCTTGCATTTTCCTATTATGAGATTGCATTTTGGTCCTTACCTACCACAAGGCAGACCCTGATAGAAACCGTTAGTAGGAGTTTATCTAAAAGATGGAGAGACGGGGAGTCAACTGGCCCGAAATTCATTCCTTTGTTTAAAAACCCCTTATGCCAGATCTCTTAAAGGGTTAGTTTCAATAAATGGTCCGAAAGACATTAATAACACTTAAGATATCGATTGCATCTCCTTTTCGAAGAAACATCTTCTAAAACTAAAAAGAAAAAGTTCAAGTAGAAAAAAGTAAAAAAACAAAGGCACATAGTTGGTAAACCCTGCACATTAACATCATTGCTCTTTAAAACTCACCTCACATACTTCTAGTTAGGAAGGCTTCTTAAATAGCTATTAATATTCTATATAGCTTGAGTTGAAAAGTTTTGTACTATTTAGGCATATTGTCAGATTTCCACACATTCAGGCTCAGAGAGAAAGCCACACTGCTTAAAAGCCTCCTACTTAGATCCAAGGAAATGCACACAAACAGGGCTGTCCTGCAGGACATTTTTTTTATTCTATTTAATCCTCCTTTTTATGTCAGCATGATGCTGTATACATTATATGACAAAGTCCACAGAAAACAGCGTAATAACTCAGACAGACTTTAAGGTTTCACAGATACACACTGATGAGTGGTTCTCATCCATCACCAACATTATGTGTCATGATCTCAGGATTAGAAATGAGATGTGATCAAAAATAGCAGTTGGAACATAAAGAGAGTGACGGATTAATGTGAACAGATCTCCAGCTTACAGGGGGTTCTTAGTGAGACCCTCCCTTTTACATGTCAACTGATGAATTAAAGTATAGATTAAAAATATTTTACATTTACATTTTTCTCATTATGACTCTATATACCTTTTTTTCTGTTAATAGCAGACATGTTAGGATATTTTACCTATGAATTCTCAGCAGTTGATTTATCAAAGGATTGTTGGCTATTTTTTTTTTTTTATGAATCAAAGGACATTTTTAATACAATTGGGGTTTGTTACAAGTTCTATGTAATTAATGATCCAGAAGCAAATTTATTGTTTTTCATAAACATAAAGGTAAAAGGTAGTGTGCCACTGCTGATCTTCATATGTCAAACAAACACAGAAATAAATATTTGAAGTATTTCTGGTTGGAACAGCAGTGTGGAATAGGAATAGAGGATGAATATATCTGTTAAATCTTTTCCTTTAAATGCTATGATGTTTTCTTTTTCTGATCAAAAACACTTTTCTTCCATGAATTAAAACACTTTGATTTTGCAGCCTGTCATTTTTCGCTGTTTTGAGTTTCTAATGGATTATTTTATCCTGTTAAGTTTTATTTAGCCTTTTTTTTTTTAAATGATCCTTTTTTTCCCTTTTGGCGTTTTAGTCTTTTCTTGAGTTTTGTAAGCTTCTTTTGTCAATGTTTAGTTATTACTTTAGTTTTCACTGATCTATGAACATGCCATTCTCTCTCATTTGTTTTTCCTCACTTGCCTCAAGCTTCCTCCTCCCTCACAGCTGCTACACATCAGTAATCACTGGCCTGTTTTTTTTTTCTTTTTCTATGCAGTAATCACTTCTCCAGTATATATATGCCCTCCAGTATTATTCACTTCTCCTCAGATCCTCCTGTTTCTCTCAATGCAGCGCTGATGCCTCTTATGTTTTTTTCATTCACAATTTACCATATTTAGTTATTTTGGAGTTTTTATTTGGTTAAACCCTTTTTAAAATAATCATAACTGCCAGTAGCCAGTGTTTTGGTGCACAGCCACATAACATGTTCCCATTTTTATACATGTTTGACATGTATGAAGGTTATTGGTGGCATAAAGCCCTCTTTATAAAGCCATGTAAGTGAGAGTATAGTAAAAATGTTCCCAAAATTGAGTTTCCAGAAACAGTTGTGACTTACCTTGAGCAAATAGTAAATATTCTGGGACAATAACTTGTTTGTTCTCTAGCTTTTTTTAAGCTATAGTTCCCATTTACCAAGCTGCACTTCAATGTTTGGCTTGATAAGAAATACTCCAGGGTATACCTTTTAATAGACTCCATTCTGCAGATGAATTATTTTACTAAATTAAGGACTATTACGCTCTACACCACTGTAATTCTGAATAATTGTAAGTTCCCTTTATTATTAATGTCAGACTTCTTTGTTCTTTACTCAAACTGGCTTTTGAAATGAACAAGAAGTACCTCTAAGGTTATTTATTTCACAAAAATCTATATGTGGCGTTACAGTGATGTTTGATGAAATATTCCTAAACCAAGTTCAAGTAGCTGTTACCCAAGATGTGGGTTAATATGTACATTTTTTTTCCTTTAATGTACATTTATCGGTATGCAGGAATGTGCCTTTGTAAACTTCAGGTAGACTTTCCTCAAATTATTTGTATTCAGAAGAAGCTTTAGTGGTTTGAGTCTTTTTATGGTGTGAAGGGCAATGTGAATTTATAAACTTGTTCAACTGAAATTATAATTAAGAACTTATTAGTAAGGGTTCCTGATTTGTATGTGTAAGATGCACATAAAATCCAGTTAGTTTTTACCATTTTTCAAAGCCATCTTTGAAACAAACTTTTTTTATTCACCCAGAGGGCCCACGGACTCTGTGCACTCTACAGAATGATATTGGGCCCTAAGCTGTTAAGCCATCTTCTAGATGGTCCGTCTGTCTGTGGGCATCAGGTCCACTAAAGCTCCCCTAGTAAAGCTCCAATGATCCAAAGAGTGAGCATGTGTGAGGGGGTGTGTTTGTGTTTTTGTGTGATGCCTTTAGTGAAATCCAACCAGGAGGACTGGCTGAGAAGCTTGTTGGCTGTAGCCTCTCTGAGGCTTTGTAGAAGGCTGATTGGGGGCAATGTGGTTACTGGTAGATGTGTGTTAGCGTGTGTTTTGGGGATCAGTGGGTGGGACTGCAGGCAGCTTTGCACTCTGACCTCGATCTCATGCTTTACTGCAGACACATACAAGCACCTTACCATTGTCCCCCTCACATTTCTTCTCGTAGGTTTTTTAAATGCCTTTTAGACATTAAGAACCTATTAAATGTCGCAACCTTTTGCTGGAAGGTTAAAGTTAGTGTGTCTGGTATTAAGGCAGGATATGGGAGATGCTGTCGTGTCACCTTGCCTGATTACCTCATTATTTGTGAATTAGCTTTATGAGGGATTACGCAGGCCAGGGGTATAAGTATATGTTCAAGAGTTTGAAGCAGAGAGTGAGATTATACATTACACATTAGAGGGTTTGCATGTGAGGTACTGAGCAAGAAGGAGGTTTAATTAAACTTCCCGAGGGATTAGAACCCAGATGAGTCAGGATTGTAATCTGTCCAAAGTGGCATGAGCTATGACATCCAGCCAGAACACACACACATACTCACACAGATTTCTTCACCCGGATGTCTATGTAATCCTCACACCTCCTGTCTGCTCTGTGTTCCCATCTTTCATGACCAAATCAGTTTGTCAGCCTGCTCCTGTCCTTCAATTTCCACCGCATCATCTCCTCTCACTCTTTTCCCTCTGTATTATTACACTCTTTCCTCCTGCTTTTGTCTTTTTTTCCACATTGCACACCTGACGCCCTTTTTCTCTCTCATCTGTCGATCTCTACCTCCTGCTACCCATTTCACACCGTTGCTCCTCTCTGACCACCCATCCCCTCATTATTTTTCAGGACGCAGACCCCTGTTACCATTGGCTTCCTTCTGAAAACCTCTTTCATTCTTTCTTCTCATCTTACTCACCTTTACCCTCTGGGCCACTTTACCTTCCTTTGCCATCTGTCTTTTTATAGCCATTCTGACTGTTTGTGCTGCAGTCCATTCTTTTAACTCGGCTTTCTTTCACCTGAAGTCTTCTGACTACTGTTTTAAACAACTGTTGGTTTGAAGATATTTAGTCACTTATGCATTTACTGCTTACTGGAAATATTGCATGCTCAGTACTTGTTTCAAAATAGCTGAGGATATTAGATATAACAATTTAGAATTAGAAGAATAAGTGTGCTTGGTTGATTTAGTTCATTATGGTCTGTGTGACCAGCACAGCCTATGAAGCCTTCCTTTACTTTATGTTATAAACAGAGCAGTTTTTATGCCTAAGGAAATTACAAAAACAACTCTTAAAAACCCTATAAATTAAACTATAAAGTGAACTTTAGTTTGAAGAATGAATATTTTAAACAGGCTGAATGTTTAGCTTAGTTTTGAGGTATCTGTCGAGGACCAGTTGGCTCCTAGAGCGATGTGCTCCTAAACCAAGTCATTAACAATCAGTTCAGCTATTGTTGGAAAATTAATGTATTTCAATAACTCAATTCCAAAGTGAAATATATACAATAATTACACATTAACCTTTTCAAAACATGTTTATTTCTTAAATAAAACCTATGAAATCAGTACTTACTCAATGCTATTTATATAGCTTAGAATGGGTAAGTTACATCTAGTAACAAGATAAAGTATACTGTTCTATCTGCTGTATTCTCAAAAAGCGCAGGAGGATCAGAAGCTAGAAGGATTAAACAAATGAAGCTTAAGTACAAACAAAAGTGTAACTTAAAGCTGTAGGTGTTTGTTCCTCTGTTGTATTTTTGTTTAAAACAATTAGCCATTAATTTAACTAGACTATGAGTGGTTATACCTTATAATATTCTAACTCAAGTAAAGGTAAAATGCAATAAAACTACTAATGAAATTTCTTTTGTTGTTTTTTTATTACTCACTTTAAAGTAACTAATATAGCTGGTTACTCCTTTTCCTCTAGTTATGCATAAAAGCAGGTGTTTTCAGCCTTAAACTGGTGGTTTCAATGCTGAGTGACTTATAAGGAGTGCACTAACTTAAGCATCATTTTAAACATTTTTACTCACAATCTTCCTTCTCAGACCAAGAGAAATCCTGTGGTCCAAGATTAACGACACCTTACCTGAAAGAGCAGAGAAATCTGGACCCACTCTTCAGTTTTCCCGCCTCAGCCAATCACACAATGGAACATACTTGTGCCAAGCCCAGAACAACTTTGGTCGTGCCGCTGATCATTACACCCTGTTGGTGTATGGTAAGTGTGTCCACGGTTCTTTCCCTTTAACGTTTTGTTTTTTAGCTCACCCTTCAGTTGTTAATAGTTGTTTCTAATGTGATAACCATTTGTTATGTTGTTTTATGTTTACTATTCTCAATTGACAGGTCTTTTCATTTTAATTGATCATCTCTTCTTTGCAGCATCTTTAAATGTAGCCGTTACTCTATGGAGCAAACAACTCTTAAATCCAGATTTAATGATGTTGATCTTTTTTTTTAATTTTTTTGTATTTTATTTTATTCTTGCTTTTGATATAGCAGGTCTTCTTTTCCAAACCTCATGAGCATGGTGCTCTGGCTTCCTTGACAAGGGAGCTCAGAACCATGATTATTCAGTGTATTCTTTGTAAGTTCCTAGTTTATTATCTCTGCTGGGACCCATTTTTCTCCTCAGAAAATTGAAGAATAGAAATCTCTTGAGTGCAATAAATGAAACCAAGTGAATGCTGTTTCACAAGAAAAAGGTTTCGAACATAAATTTCAATTTCTCAGGTTAAGCTTTGTCTATTCTAAATGTGCATGAATGCGGTAGCCCTTGGGTGCTCCGTTTTCCTCCTTCAGATCTATAAACTGTGAATGTAGATGTACCTGTGTCACGAAATTTGTAAGAACTTTTGTGTGTGATTGAGTATGTTTTATGTTAGAGCCATAACGAGCTAGTAACCTTGTAACCTGTCTAAGGTCCAGCCCAATTCTAGGAAAGATTCTAAGCTGTGTAAAGCAGCTGGAAGAAATGCTTTTTTTGTTCTTTTCACAACAATCTGACACATAGGAAATAGACAACAAAGGATTTCTTTTTTCTTTTTCTTTTTTTTTTTTTTTACATCTTACATGATTGAATTTGGAAGGAAAACACCAGCAAAGCAACTGCTCCATTTAAAATTCAGATGCTGTGTTTTCTTTTGGTGGATGTGTCTGAGAGGAGGTAGATTTGGATGTGAGACAATGTTGTATATTTTTCTGCATGTATTCCAGATGTGCATCTAGATCTGTGACTGGATCTGTCAGGAGTATGGATCCTTATTTTTTACAGCTCTTCCTTTTTCAAACATGATCAAACCTGTTTCTCACAACAGAGACATACATTTTTTATATTAAAATCAAGAATTAAGCAAAAAAATATCAAGAAATATGCAAAAAAAAGAAACATATAAAATACTTCACCATAGTGATTTTCTCAGAAGAGAAAAAGAAATAACAAGAGATGTTTGTAGTAACCTGTAGACCTGATAGACTGACTCCCCATGGAGTGATATATATGTATTCTTTAGGGAGCCCAGGCTGCCTGTAATTCACCTAGGTGATAAATGACCACCTCTAACCAAAGCTGTAATTTCCAACACTGAATTCTAGGCTACATTCTGGTAGCAGATACAACTTATCCTCCAATTCTGACCAATAACGTTGCATTAGCTATGTTTACATGGACACAAGTAATGAGAATAAAGAGCTGTATGGAAAAACAATGTATCAAATAAACGCATTTATCAAAATATTATGATCAGATTAAGCTTAATTTGAATTAATTTGTATTTTGATTGGGAATGGTGGTCGATGCTGACCCATAATGCAATCAGCAGCCATCTCCTCACTTCTTCCCATCATGTCATTATGATTTGGGCAAACTGAACTAAATATGTGGAAGATGAGACAGCCGCGCTGGGCAGCACAGGACTTTAACAGATGTCTTTATGGGATTTCCTTTCGCCGTCTCATCTGAGCCTGTAGCTTAATTGTGGAAAGCCATAATTCTTCATCCCCTTAGAGCCTGAAGCAGACCCATTCTGTCAGAATGTCTGTTTTTTGTTTTTTTGTTTAGTTTTTTTTTCACATGGGCAAGACACTGCTTCTGCAAATGTTTTAGGGAAATTTGACACATACTAAAGTTCTATTCTGCGAAAAAACCTGGTGAAAGTAAATTAAAATCATAACTGGATTGTTTGATTTTGTGCCGATATAAATGCTGTTTTCAGTCTTTCCATTTTCTTGTAATCAAATGTTTATTTAGGATGTGACGATAGCGAGGGTTACTGTAATGTCTACTTTCATCACTACTCTACTTCTATACCACTGAGCCATGCACTTTGCAAGTCTAACTCCTCTCCAAATAATCAGTGTGTGTAAATGATTAGGATTACTGCATTACATATTTAATCAGCAGTAATATCTCTTAAAACATTTAGTTTAATCCCAAAAAAATCTAATTAAACCTACATATGTGGCAACAGGAACTCCTGAACCACCAGATCCCAGGTGTGGTGAAACAGCATCTATTTTCTTTTGCTTAAAAGGTTAAATAGCTGAGCCACAGCTGAAGCAACTGGAGATTGATATTGTTGATTTGACTGTATTCTATTATTAAAACACTTTTTATAAAGAGGACTCAATAAGTAAATAAGAAATACTTTAAAAGAATTCTAATGATTGCTTCAATGCTCTGGCTGCTAACTGCTTGTTCTAGCGAATATCTGTCCCAGCTGTGACATGAGATATGTTTTGTCCTCTTTCCCTTTGTTATTCTGATCTTTTTAATCCAATATTGCAATCTTTTGGCAACCTTGGGCCGATTTCCAACAGTGTTCAGAAGGTGAAGAAAAATATCTTCTCCCTAACTGAGTTATTCTAAGTTTTTATGTAAGTTGTTATGATTATCTGTTTGTAGCAAATATAAATATATATTTTCTGTGTTTGCAAAAAAGCAAAAACAAAACACCCAGCCACACATCCATTTATCATATTCCTGTTGAAAAAGTTGCATTTTTAAAATAAGCAATCTGCTCTCTGCTTCTAGTCATATGCAAGGAGAGTCTAAGAGACTTCAGCTGCGATTCAAAAGCCCCTTGTTATTTTTGTAGAGTTTTGAAATGACTTAATTTCTCAACATTAAAACAAATATGAAAACCTGATTTTAAGTAACTCCATGCTTTCAAGATGTTTAGGTTTTCTAGCTTTTCAGTCTGGTGATATTTTCTCCTTTAATAAAAGTTAACTCAGTTCAGTAATACAGTTTGGCTGAATACAAAGTGGAGACCTCAGCATCTTATAAAAATCTCGTACCTTTGTTTGTCAGCAACAGTGACAAATTGGGCAGCTTTCTGTCTGAGCTTGAGTTGCATGCAAAAAAAAAAACAACAAGTTTTTGATGTATGGTAATGTTGTGTCAGTCCCACATAAAAAAAATAAATAAACTTGCAGTGGTATAAGGACAAAGCAGATTTTCTTTTTTTTATGTGAGGACAGCAGTGTGGATAAACTGCAAAGCAAGCTCATCATTAGAGGCTAGATGCTGCCAGGTTTTTGATCTGACCTAATTGCAGGAACATTGCTGTCACTCAGCAGGCTTGCTCCTTTTAGATCTAAGCTCCCCACCCCCTGGTGGAGACTCCTGTCATTGCGTTTATACCTGATTTGGAGATCACAAGCAGAGAGGGCAATGTGAGGAACAGAGATGCGTTATGAAACAATTTTGTGCTGCTTTTAGTTAGCGACCCCTAACCAGCCATAGCACTAACACTACTTTTCTCTCACACGTTGATGCCCTTGTACACACCACTGTACAAGCTTTCAGTGGCACTAACAATGACCGATTTTTAGGATGGCAGCAGTGGCAAGATAAAAGATGTCTTACTCAACCCTAGTTTCTTGTTTTTCTTTCTTTATGTGTTTCTTAGGAGGTTCATTGTTTAAGGCTTTGACATCTGTGCCTGCATCTATAGAAACATTCCTTGTCTGCTTCGCTCTTTGGCCAGCCCTATTAATGTATGGTGAAGTTTGTGGTCTCCCAGCCGTAATTTCTGCTATTTTAGCTTTTTGGTAATACTTTGATGTTTTAAATGTTTAAGAAATGATAAGTAGGGACAAAGACAGCCTAAATTAATCAAAAGTACAGCTTCAAAACTATTTCATTTATTAAGGGAGAGATCTTTAGAAAAAAATACTTATGTAAATAAGTAAAGGCCTTTGAATTTTCAATTAGGGATTCATTTTAAATTAATAGGATTTATTCAAATTTGAGGTCGATTTCACTTGCATTATATGGCTCTAATTAACACAATTTCAAGCTGCTGAATCCAGTAATAATTTAAGACGAAAACCTGAAGTAGACAAAAGGATCCCTTAAAAGTAAGAAATTATGCCCCAATCTAATGAAATTGAATCAAAAAGAAAAAGCAGTTGTTTTTTATCGTTCTGTTGTGACAGATGCGAAACATTTAATTGCAAAAAAAAATGCAGAAACATTTTTTTACAGCACAGTATTTTTCCCTCCAAGTCATTTAATCTTAGTTTGCAAGTCATTCCATTTTCTCCATATTTGCACTGGAATCTACATAAAAACAAACCCGTCTCCAGCTCCTCTGTTGTGTAGCTTCCCACAGATTTATATCAGTCAGCTTCTTAATTCCTCGTGCTGTTGCTTTGCATTAGCAGGGGTGTAACTGTTCTTAACCAAAAAAGACACGGATCTAGCAGATTGTTTCACTTCAAACCTTCAGCTGAAAGAGATCAAGGCAGTTGCTGCACACCACTATATTAAACACCGCTCTTGAGTTTTGAACAAATGTCACAGTGGATAATGAGGCAAACATGGTGTTAATTCTTTCTTTTTAAACATGGAATTATTTACCCTTACATCCAATCTTTAAAGTTTCCAAAGATGTATGTGTGTGTGTGTCTTTTTAAATGCTCTATAAAACTAGAGTGTAGCATTGGCCATATATCTCTGCCACTGCAAATAATCCACCATGGATGATTTAATAAGGTGTTAGAGAAATGCCTCTGGGAATTAAATGAAGCTCATCAGTCAATATGGAAAATAAATATCGTTCTGTGCTGTAAAATATGTTAAGATGATTCATAACTTCAACACCTACTGAGATTGTGCTTTCTTTTTTTTCAGTTTTAACACCCACACTTTTAGGTTCATGTAATTTCATTTCTTTTTAAATGTGAATATCTGTTTGTGTGGAAAACATTCAC